ACTCTTACTGAACTTGTAGTTGCAATCATGTTGAATTCTGGTGCTGCACCTCACTGGTGGGGGGAAATTTTATTGACTGTTTGTTATGTCCTGAATAAATTTCCCAAGTCAAAAAGTAAGATCTCACCTTATGAGATATTAAAGAAAAGACAACCAAATTTGTCTTATTTAAGAACTTGGGGCTGTCTGGCTTATGTCAGAATTCTGGATTCGAAACGAGTTAAACTCGCTAGTAGAGCCTATGAATGTGTATTCATTGGGTATGCAGCAAACAGTAAGGCATACAGGTTTTATGACCTAAATGCCAGAGTAATTATAGAATCAAACAATGTTGAATTCTTTGAAGACAAATTTCCTTTCAAATCGAGAAATAGTGGGGGCACACAATCGAGTCACATTCCTGTGATAAAAAGCACTGAAAGCAGCGACAATGTAGAAATAGAACTTCGAAGAAGTAAAAGAGCAAGAGTTGCTAAAGACTATGTGCCCGATTATGCGACCTATAATGTAGAAGAAGATCCAATAAATCTTCAAGAAGCACTGTCATCTATGGATGCAGACTTATGGCAAGAAGCCATTAATGATGAGATAGATTCTCTAGAATCTAACAAGACCTGGCACTTAGTAGACTTACCTCCGGGTTGCAAACCAATTGGTTGTAAATGGGTTTTGAAAAAGAAACTAAAACCTGATGGAACGATTGAGAAATACAAGGCTCGCCTTATAGCCAAGGGTTTTAGACAAAGAGAAAATATAGATTTCTTCGACACCTTTTCTCCGGTCACTAGAATTACATCCATTAGGGTACTCATTTCAATAGCAGCCATTTATAACTTAATAGTACACCAAATGGATGTTAAAACAACTTTTTTAAACGGTGACTTAGAAGAAGAAATCTATATGGAACAACCAGAAGGGTTTGTGATCCAAGGACAAGAAAGCAAGGTCTGTAAGTTAGATAAGTCTCTGTATGAACTAAAACAAGCCCCTAAATAATGGCATGAAAAGTTTGACAACCTAATGATAATTAATGGGTACAAAGTGAATGAAAGTGACAAGTGCGTTTATTACAAATCTGAGAATCGCATTTGTACTATCATATGTCTATATGTAGACAATCTACTTATATTTGGATCAAACATTCAGGCCATTAATGATCCAAGTGTGAAACTGTTTAAGAACACTGGAGAAAGTGTCAAACAAGCAGAATATGCGAGCATCATTGGCAGTCTTAGGTATGCCACTGATTGTACTAGACCCGACATTGCATATGTCGTAGGATTGCTGTGCAGATTTACAAGTAGGCCGAGTAACGAACATTGGCAAGCTATTGAGTGAGTAATGAGGTACCTTAAAAGGACTATGGACCTCGGCCTACACTATCAGAAATTTCCTGCTGTACTAGAAGGGTATAGTGATGCAGATTGGAACACCTTATCGGATGATTCCAAAGCTACTAGTGGTTATATATTTAGTATAGTCGGGGGAACTGTATCTTGGAAATCAAAGAAACAGACCATTCTGGCACAATCCACAATGGAGTCTGAGATGATAGCATTAGCTACAGCTAGTGAAGAAGCAAGTTGGTTAAGATGCTTGCTAGCTGAGATTCCTTTATGGGAAAAACCTATACCAGCTGTGTTGATCCACTGCGATAGTACCGCGGCTATTGCAAAAGTTGAGAACCGTTATTATAATGGTAAAAGACGTCAAATTAGAAGAAAACATAGCACTGTTAGAGACTGTATCTCTAAAGGAGCTGTGAGAGTGGATCATGTACGCACTGATGAGAACTTAGCAGATCCTTTGACGAAAGGATTAGCTAGAGAGAAAGTCCATAATACTTCCAAAAAGATGGGACTAATGCCTATAAAATAATTTGTTACTCATGATGGTAACCTGACCTAAATGACTGGAGATCCCAAGACTTAGGTTCAATGGGTAATAACAAGTTGTGAGCAATATGAAAATGATCATGCAAGTAAAGCATGAATCTTGAAGTAATGAGAGGATGAGATAATAGAAACTCTTAATGAGATCTATACTCTGTATGAGGGAGTACCTAGGCTACAGGAGTACTCTTGATAGATTCATCTATGTGACTGTGGAACTGAGGCCGGTTCCTATGGAATTTTGAGGCAGAATTCCTAGAGCATTCACTAAACCGGGATACACGTGCAGGGCCACTAAAGCACGGGCTACAAGAATACACCTTACGGAAAGGTTCTGTGCGGGTCTGATGTCCGAGATAGAGTTCAAGACAATGGTGTCACTCTTGTTGAATCAGAATCCTACTCGCTACGCGTAGGTTCAAGTTGTAGACACCTTTGCTTATGCTCAACCTTAGAAACGTCTGACGTACTTCTAAAATCTCTTTTAAATTCAAGTGGGGGAATGTTGGAACTTTAATTAATTAGAGTGGGAATTGGAAACATTTGTTGACAATTAATGAGCAATAAATGAACACAAGTTAGAACTAATATAGAAGTGAATTTGAAAAGATTCATTTTAGTCCCACATTGATGGGGATGGAAATATTAGTAGTGTTTATATATTCCAACTTTGTCAATTGGGTTAGGCCCTAAAGGGCACCCAATTTTGTGAAAGGAGTGAGGACACACCCATGACCAACAAGATACACACGCGCGCGGGCGCCGCCGTCGTCCGTCCGGCCGGCCGGTTCGGTCCGGTCCGGTCTGGTCTAGATGAATTATTTTTTGGACCCGAATTCACATATTTTAATTATCATTAATTAATTAATATAATTCAGTGGAAAATTAATTAATAATAAATATTAATTAATTAAGAAAATAATTGGTCAGTAACTGCCAGATCCAGTCCTCCACGAATTTCTCATTCTCCCACCATTTTCTCCACTCACCACGAATTTCTCTCCACTCAGGTGCAGGTAGCTGCCTATAAATACAGGGTAGAAATTCAGTAGTGAGTACATCAGATTTCACAAGTTCACACGAATTTTGATTTCCTTCTTCTCTCCCTTTATTCTCTTTATCTACAATTTTTTCTTTTCTTGACTGGTTATTTGCGCCAGATACTAATTTAGAAAGGTGTATTTCTAGAGCGATTTATCAGTGTGCAACTGATAATCGTAAGTTTTTTGAGCGATTTATCAGTGTGCAACTGATAATCGTAAGGATTTTGAACGGGCTGTTTTATCCTGGAGGCGTCGTCGTAAATCGACTGCTTTGCATAATTTGGCAGTACGACGAAACGTCTTAAAGAAAGCGACCTAGTACGCGACTCGACCCGATAATTTCCTTGTGCCAAACTCAATTTTTCAAATCCGAAAATAACAGTTGAATCCTTCCTGTATATGATGGCATACACGCACTCCAATGTTTAATTCTTTCAATAATCCGATTAAACAGCGACATATAGTGATGGATTGATAACTTCCTACCCATCATAGGAACCCCCAAATATTTGAAAGGTAGTTGCCCTTCCATGAAGTTTGTTTCCTTGATTATGACTTCTTTTATGGTTCTATCCATCCCTGCGCAGTAGACTTTGCATTTCTGAGGGTTTACTTCCAATCCCGTTGAATACGAGAAATCGTTGAAAGTTTTCATCATTATTGCAACCGAAATCTGATCGCCACGGGAAAACATTAATAGGTCATCCGCAAAGCATAATTTGGTGATTTTTAGTTTCTCACACTTAGTATGATAGTTGAAGTTACTATCTTTTTGCACCCTATGGAGATATTTGTTCTAACATTCCATCACAATGGCAAATAAGAGAGGTGATATCGGGTCACCTTGCCTCAATCCTCTCTTGGCCTCCATAATGTCGGTGTACTTTGCGTTCACATTAAATCTGTATGAAACTGTCGAGACAACAATCACAATCCAACTCGTGAATTTCCTAGGGAAACCAACTTCATTTAAGATAGTCTCTACTGCTTTCCAATTAACCGTGTCGTATGCTTTTTGGATGTCCATCTGCATCACGCATCTCGGAGTGCCTCCTTTCCTGTCATATCCTTTAATCAATTCATAACTTAATAGAATATGATTATGAATATGTTAACCTTTCACAAATGCAGCCTGATTATGATCAATAATAGTATGCAACACCTTCCCCAATCTGGTTGCTAGCACCTTTGATATAATTTTATATAGAGTGATGCAGCAAGCAATTGGTCTGTAGTCTTTGATACTTTTTGCCTCATTGTGTTTTGGAATAAAAGTCACAGGTGAGCAATTAGCAGCTTTGTGCAACCTCCCATTGTTAAAGAAATCTTGTACAACAACCACAACATCATCTTTTATAATTTTCCACGCCTTCTTAAAGAAATAAGCCCCGTATCCGTCCAGCCCCGGTGATTTCGTGTCACTTATGCTATTAAGAGCTGTAGTGATATTATTTTCTGTTACAGGGGCAGTCAGACTGTCTTGCTATTCGATATCTAGTCGTTGACATTCTCGCATGGCCCTGGTGTCGATACCATTAAGTTCAGTGTATGCTCTCCCCATTAGCTTTTTGTAGAACTCAATAACTTCGGTTTCCATATATTGTTGAGTGTTTACGTAGGTTTCGTCATCCATTTGTAGTTGTCTCATACTTTTTATTTTTTGTCTCATTTTAATGGAAGCGTGGAAATATTTGTTGTTTCCATCTCCCAATCTTAACCAATCAATTTTAGCCCCCTGTCTCAAAACATTCTCTTCAATATCCTGCCATTTAATCAATTTAGCTGTGCAGATTTTGACCAATTCAATGTTGTTAGGATTCAATCTGTCAGACACCAAGGCATTTTGGGCCTTCAGCAAATCCTCCCTAGCTTTCCTAATATTCCTTTTTACATTAGTAATGGGTTTACTCAGTTTTTTAATACAGGGTTGCAGTCTCTGCAGCTTCTTCGAAACAATAAACATAGCCTTACCCTTTAAAGGAACCTTCCAGCTATTACTTACAGTATCATGGAAGTCTTCTAAATCTGCAGTGCTATTGAGAAATTTGAAGTTGTATGTCCTAATTTATGTATTCTCCTGCTCTTTCAAAACCAGCATGGCGTGATCCGTGACACTTGGTGTCATGTTGGTTAGGACAATATCCACATTCTTTTGCATCCATTCCACATTCCCTAAAACTTTATCTATCCTGTAATGGATAGCATTCTCTCCCTGCTTATTTGACCATGTAAAGTAATCACCAGTACTTTCCATCTCGTATAGTTCTGTCGCACTCATCATGCTAGTGAGATCAATATATTCCTTTTCGTTCACCATGGTTCCTTCAGTTATGTCCTCTACTTTCAGAACATTATTAAAATCGCCAATAAGCATCCATTGTCCATGTTGCTGATAGTGTATAGTTTCAATATCCTGCCACAACTTTCGCCTCATATCTAGTTGGTTTTGTGCATAAATTGCAGTCAGCCAGTTCAAGACATTTCCAGTATTATCACAAATCTTATAGTGTATCAGTTGGTCAGTGATGCACACGTGCTCAATATCCACTTTGTTTTCATCCCAATACACCCATATTCTACTGTTTTCATGCTTGCCATAGTTATCCAGATAGCTACCCCTAAGTTTCAGTTTATCTCTAATTGTTTGAGTTTTATTCCTCTTCACCCTAGTTTCGATTAGTACTATGATTGCAGGGTTAAGATCTAGGAGACGGGAGCTAATCTCCCTAGTCTTACCCGACTTATTGAGCCCCCTTACATTCCATGATATAATCATGGAACATCGTCGTTGAACACTTCCGACGAGCCTGTTCCTAGTGTTGCAAAACCATTTCCACATTTGGCTTGGGTCGGAGTATTGGTCTGAGACTTACCTCTGCTTGTATCTCTACCTTTTTTCTGACTTCAGTCCATATAGCAGAACTTGGTCCCTCTGTTCCAGTATTTCCTGACACTTGTTTTCTTGCAGGAGTTTCATTTGGCCTTTGCCCTTGTTATCATCATTAGTAGTTCCTTCCTTTTGTGGCTCTTGGTGCGTGTTTGGTTGTTTAGGTATCCATTGTTTGATACAGGGGTATGCAAAAAAATCCGGTTATTGTTAACCAAATTTATATTCAAATTGTTTCACTTTTAAAAATTCGAACCAAATACTAAAATATAAATCGGTTTCCGTGTGGTTTAGTTATTGGTTATCCAAATTTCATTATTTGTTAAATTAATATGTTTTTGTCTCTTTTCATGTTTTATCATATACACGTTATAAACTAATTTTATATTTTAAACCAAAAGATTCAAAATTTTGTATTTTAAAATAAATTCAAAATATTAAAAAAATTTAGGATCACTTAAATATAATTTTTGCCTCTTAAAATTTGTTGTTCTTTTTTTCGTTTTAATTGTAAAATATTTTTATTTACAGAGAAACTTGTGCCACTTATTCATGAAAAAAATCATTCGAATTATTGATCATTCATATCTATTATGTATTTTCCATTTATATTTCTGTCCAAACATTACATTGGTTTGGTGATATTCTGATTTGTCCAATAACCTTTTAACACCTTTGATTTTCTTTTTTAAATTTATTTTTTCAAAGTAACAAATAAAGTCCAATTTGGATTTAATTTAAAAGACACAACCACTCCACCAACTCAAATAAATCCATAAACTTTGATTCTATTCTAAAAGTTTCATTAAATAAATTTAGTCATTATCATTCATCAAATCAATATTCTGAAAATTTCTACAACAACATTAATATCAAAATCAACTTCTCATTAATAATGTTTAAGATTTCATTAAATTGTTTTCATTTGGAAAGAAAAATTGTATTATATGTGATGAGAGTGATTGCCAGATAATTGAAGATTGCAATCCAAAGTTATCAATTGACTCATGGCACCTTGATAATTTGATTGAGCTATATTATTAATTTATTAGTTTAGAGAGTCTCAAATGAACGTTGTTTTTATCTATCATATTCAGAAACAAACACATAGTTTTAATTATATTTTAACAATAAAAAATATTTATAAGATTCTATTTAAATTCAGTTTAATCGTACAAAAATTTTAAATTATGTGCGATAATATATTACATATCCTTAACCACAGTCCTCTTACATACTATTATTATTATTATTATTATTATTATTATTATTATTATTATTATTATTATTATTATTATTATTATTATTATTATTATTATTATTATTATTATTATTATTATTATTATTATTATACAACAAATATAAAATATAAATTTTAATATCTTAGAATTGATTAATAGGAATTGTAAAATCTTTAGCACGTTGCTTCACCCGCACCATTCTGCTCTATTATATTTTAAAATGAATTTTTCTATATGTTCATAGTATGAAGTATTTTAAAATGAATTTATTAAAACGTTATAAATTAAAATGTTTATGTTTAATTTTCCATATATGTAATAATCAATTTTTCTGTACTGCCAAATACTCGTGCTTAAACATTTTCATTTCTTAATACAAAGTATAGAATTAAAATGTTTCAGGTGGTTTATCAATTATTTGATAGTTTGCAATAAACTTGATTTTTTTTAGAAATTGGTTTTAAAACTGATTTTTTTATAAAATTGGTTTTAAAACTGATTTCTTTAAAAAAAAAAAAAAAAAACTGGTTTTGAGAGAAACCAGTTTAAAACTGGGTTTTAAAAAAACTGTTTAAAAACCGGTTTGAAACCGAATCAATCCACTTGTAAACCGGTTTTAAAAAAATAAATTGGTTTTATATAAACAGTTTTAAGATCCAAACCAAACCATATATGTGGTTTGTTTTGGGTTGGTTTATAATCCATGCACACCCCTAGTTTGGTAGCTTATTTTTGTTGCTTCCCTTCACATTGATGCCCAAGTTTATTACACTTTGCATAGTAAAGCGGCCGCCATTCGTATTCAATAGATTGTTGCATCTTGTTTCTGTCTTTGTCTTTGATGGTAATTTCTTTAATTGGATCTTGGGTGATATCTATATCGACCAAAATTTTGGCGTAAGAGATTCAATATTTGTTTGTCGTACATTCATCTGTCATCAACGGTATGCCTAGTGCACTACCGAACAACGCCTCACTCAACCACCGGAGAGACCCCTTTTCGACTCACCTACGGAACCGACGCGGTAATCCCGGTGGAAATAAGAGAGCCTTCTAGAAGGACCGAATCTCCCCTCGAGGAGGAGACCAAAGACGAGGCTCTCCAAGAAGAGCTCGACCTGGTCGAAGAGATCCGCTCGGGAGCAGCTCTCCGCGAGGCCACGCTAAAGCAAAAAATCGCCCTTCACTACAACATCAAAGTCCTAAGACGCGAATTCCAGGTCGGCGACCTGGTCTTACGAAGAAACCAAAAGGACTCACGTGAAGGAAAGCTCGCCGTGAATTGGGAGGGCCCCTATCGTGTCCGGGACAAGACGAAACACAGAGCCTACTACCTCGAAAACCTACACGGGGACGAAATTGCTCGACCATGGAATGCTGAGAAGCTTAAAAGATACTACAGTTATACACTGCCTGCGACAAACGACTTTGCGATCACAGGAGCGCACCCTGGTACCGAGCGCCTCCCAAATAACTCAACGAAAACAAACACCTCCCCTATCGCGTGTGCGAGCAGAGCGTTATGTTCGACGGTGACCCCTCAACCTAGAGCCACCGTCGCCGTACCAAGATGGCAGAACACCCAGATCGCGATGGGACGTTCACGCCACGGAGGGAAAACCGCGACCGTGATCCCCCTCTGTTACCGACCAGGTAACACCCTCGGTCACCCTGGCTAATTCCCTACACTACCGGACACAATCGATAAAGCACCGAGCAATACTCCCAACAACAAATAAAGATACAAATTCATACAAGCATACAAACATGCAAACATAAAAACGAGCACACACTTAACAAAAGTAAATACTATATTATAAAAGGAGCACCAACTCAGTAGTCAAGAATTACATCAAAAAGGGCATGCAGGCCCGACAAAACAATTAGGCAAAAATTGGCACGCAAGCCCAAAAACACCTATCCTAGTCCTCGAGACGATCTTCTTCAGGCTCATTGATCGGGGCGGCGTCCTCATCAACCTCGGGATCAATCGCGACCACCCATCCCTTAACGACTTGGTGTAGGGCCCAATCCCCTTAGTGACCAAAGCGACCTCAGGATTCACGATCCTGATCTGCTCCACGGTACTGGAAAATCCAACCTTAATCGCTCCCAGACAGTCGTGCTCAAGCTCGCGGATCATACCCAGCAAACCAGCACGAGAAAACAAAAGCTTCTCCTCTTCTGTCTCATCCTCGGCAGGACATATTGAGTTCTCTAGCTCCTCCACACGAGTCCGCAGCCTCGACAACTCTTCCTCGGAAGCTTTTACCTTTCCCTCAGTGTCGATGCCCCTCTTGCACTGCACGATCACCTCTTCCTTGCTCAGATCCAGCTCTACGGTCAACTTGGTCAACCTCGACTGAGCAAAAGCGAGGTCTCCCTGCAACTTATCCAGCTCGGAAGAAGAGCAGCCCTCATCACTTAAAACCAGAGCGGTCGAGAAAACCCGCATCATTGCAACCAGATCTTCGGTAAGCACCTACCACCGAACATCGTGACTCGCCTCGATGATCACCTTCGCTTCAGAGGCCGACACAGCTGGCGACCTGGCACCATGGAAGAACCCTGGATTCTGGTGGCAAGGGGGGATGAGAAATCCCTCCTCGGAAATTCCCTCTGTGAGGTCGACAATGGCATCGAACGACTAAACTCTTGCCCGCTTTGCGGTCCCTTGCGACGCTGGGGAGTGGCTACCTTGAGGCGAAGACGAGGACCCCATTCCCCTTGGTCAGCAACAACCTGCTGCATCACTCTGGCGAACCTGCCCTTCTCGTTTTTGGTCGCGGATCTGAAAGACGCCAATTTCTTCACTCGCTCCTCGATGGTCGACATGCTTCCTGCAAAACAAATCAAGAAAGGATTAACAAAGACAGACAAACGGGGGTCAAAATGTCGACCATGTTACTCCCCACCACCTAGGAAATGGAGAGCCTCCTTGTCGAACGAACACTCGAGCAGAGCCTTCGTATTTATCAGCCTCTTCTGTTGGCGAATGTTCCCTCAGCTGTCGAGGATGAAGTTCCTGTCGGGCGTCACCAGCTTGGCCGGGGAGAAGCTGGCCACAAAGGACACTATTTTTTGGTAGCCCACCAGGTCCTCCTCATCCATAGTCCCTGCCCACACGATGTAGTGATCCGTCCCTTTTTTGAAGTGCTCCTTCGTCCACTCTAAGGGTACCCTTGGCACCATAACTTTCTCCCGCTGCCCGTCCACTTCCCGGGCTTCTCGTCAATACAAGAAGGCGCACGGCTCAAGAGAAATGGGCCGAACCACGAAGAAGCGCTCCTTGAAGTCCCAAATAGAGTCCATATATACCCGAAAGAGTCTCCTCGACTGCTTTAGTGAAATCCACCCTTGTAGGCCATCCACTGTCTGCCTTTGCAGGTGGAAAAGGCGAAAAAAAACAACGTAAGAGTGGCCCCGATCTCCAAATTTCGGCAAACGAGCTCGTACGCCCGGATGAAGGCCATGGCATTTGGGTGCAGGTGTGAGGGGGCCAACCTCATCCAGTCGAAGATGCCCAACCGGAAATCGGTAAAAGGAAGCCTAAGACCGGCCTCATGGAAGTAATACTCGTACATCGGGAACCTCATCTTCCCATACATCGAGCATATCCGATGATAGTCTCGTGGTCGGTACACCCGC